GAAAACTCGCACTAAAATGTAATTTCATCGCTTACTGTGATGCTTCTTTATCCGCACGATATATTTTTCTTTAATCGAAATCATTACAATATGGTTATCACCATTATGGACATGAACTTGTGACATAGACCTTGATTTTATTTTCAGTATAAAATATATTAAGTACTAATAGAATTGAACGTCTCATTGATCTATATACTACTTTTCAGAAACATTGATTTATTTTTTTTATTTAGTTGGATTTTATTATGTTTGCAAAGAATGTCATCAATTTTTTTTCAAAAATATATCAAACTGACTACTTGGTGATAACTAATAAGATTTTTTTTAATCTAAGTCATTACATATTAAATGGATATCACCACATGGACATGAACTTGCGACATGGGTTTTGTTTTGATTTTTTTATCTACAAAAATGATTAAGCATTAAAAGATACGAGTAAAAATTTATTTTAGAAAACCTTTTTCAATGATCATTTCTTCATTCAACATTATCACGTTGCTACTTTTTTGGAAATTGTGCTATGGTATATTATTTAATCCTACACAATTTCAAGTACCTGTGCACTAAAAATGTTTTGGATAAAATGATTTGGATAAAATCAAGAACTCTATACTAATGGTGGTTTACCCCGACAGATTTAAGGGAGGTTTAGGCTAAGTGTAACTTTGAATGTGACTTCACTTGTGACTTTTTAAATTCGCTTATCATATTCAAAGCTCTACTTAACTTAAGACTCCCTTAAATTCGTCGCTGCAAACCACCATATATTTATTATATGTCATATATAAATATATTATATGTCATCTAGATATAGCTTTTTCCTCCTAGGTTTTTTGATCCATGTCAATACATGCTTTGATTAATTAATGTGGCTAAAAATTTAGTGAACACCATAACTCCTTCTCATGATTCGCTTTCATATCTCCCTAAAGAATTTACACAGTTTCTTCTTCACGCCCGTAGCATTAGATGAGCTCCGTAGTACAATTAAAAACAAATCCTCATCTGGGACTGATGGGCTTACTCTCAAAATGTTCTCTGAACTTCCTGAATGCACATTAAACCATCGTACTACTTTAATTAACGAGTCATTCCAAAAAGGAGTTTTTCCAAACTGCATTAAGACAGCAATAATTATTCCTCTGCATAAAGGAGGAGATAAAGATCAAGCTTCGAACTATCGCCCAATTGCTCTCCTGTCCACATTATCTAAGATCATTGAAAGATTGGTTAAAAAAAAGCTTCTATCTTTTCTCCTTAAATATAAAGTACTTTCTACCCATCAATTTGGATTTCTAAGTAACAGATGCACAAATGATGCTATGTTCGACCTTTTTAATAATGTATACTCTAGCCTGAATAACCATCACTCTACAGCTACAATTTTCTGTGATTTCTCTAAGGCTTTCGACTGTGTAAATCATAATATCTTAATTAACAAATTGCAATACTATGGATTCAGGGGAGTGCCGCTCGAATGGCTTAAGTCGTATCTTGGCAACAGAAGGCAGCTTGTGAGGATTGATACGTCTATGGCTTCTTGTAAGCCTATAGAATGTGGTGTCCCTCAGGGTTTAGTACTTGGCCCTATTTTATTTCTGGTGTTTATCAACGACATTGCAAATCTAGACATTAGCGGTAAAATCTGCCTCTTTGCGGACGATACTAGTTTCACTTGGAGCGGCCCAGATGTTACGGCACTATATGATACTATATCTAGTGACTTACGCACCATTAAATCTTGGTGCGATTCTAATCTCCTATGCCTCAACCTTTCAAAAACTAAAGTTTTGTCATATAAAAGTACTATACAACCTTTTGTACTTAATAACACCACTATTGACGTCGTGGACTCTGTGGATTCTTAGCACTTGTTGTGGACAACTCTTTAAAATGGGACTTGCACATCGAAGCCTTATCAAAGAAACTAAGCTCTGCCTGTTTTGCGCTAAGATCAGTGTCTAAGGAACTTAACTCATCAACCTCTAGAATGGTCTATTATGCCCTTTTTGAGTCGCATCTTCGTTATGCCCTTCCATTCTGGGGTACTTGCTGCGCGACAAAATTTGATCGTATTTTCAAACTTCAAAAGAGAGCAGTTCGATACTTATTGGGACTAAACAGTAGAACTCACTGCCAGAATTTCTTTAAAAATTTCAAAATACTGACTCTTCCTTCCTTATTCATTTTTGAATCCGTTTGCTTAATCCGCAAGCACATATTCTCTATTCCGGAAAGGCCTTCTCACAACTATCCACTTAGGAATGCGGAGCACGATATTTATCTGCCAACCCCGAGCTCAGAACTAGTTAAGGGCTCAATACTGTACAATGCCAAGAAAATGTACAATCATTTGCCTTCGAATATCAAGTCACTTTCATTCTTTCCCTCATTTCGCAAAGCTCTGAAATCATACTTACTGGAGAGAGCCCTATATAGTAAACGACTTTTTTGTTGATGTTTAATCATGAACGATTTAGAATTTTAATTTTAATATTTTGATCATCTCACACACTGGTTAAAGATCTAGTATATACTATTTTATAACTCTTGCTTTTATGTTATTATAACATGATTTTATCCATTTACAGTTTTCCTTTTGTAAAATTTTCTAGATACGCCTGTGTTCTGCAATGTCCATATATGTTTTATTTGTAATTTTATGGCGTATTTTTTTTTTGAATTGATTTGTATTGTATGACATTTTTTTTATTATTTGTATATTTGTTTTTGTGCTTTTTTTGTTTTGCTTTGTCGATGAAGCTGTTTTGGCTTTTTGTACAATAAAGCGTTGTTTTTTTTTAGATCACAATAATCACCAAAGCCGCCTTATCATATTAAAAAATAACTTAATAAGAAATAATAATTGAAAAAATTTCAAATTGTTGGTGGCAAGTTCATATTTCGCTGTTAAAAATTAACAAAGGCCACGTATTGACATGGTTCTGGACGTAAAATTATATTTTAGGCAAATTTATACACGAAATATTGCACAGGTTGTCTTAAAGTTACGGTAAAAGAAACAACCCCTCGATTAACCCTGTATAATATGCCAAATATTAAAGTTTATAAAAAACTGAGTTTACAAATTAAAGTTGACATAATTATATACAATTTGCTAAAAATTTATGAAAATAGGGCTAAAAATAACAAAAATATAACACTTTAAATTTTAAATTTATAAAAATTTCTCCGTTGTGTTTTTTTTGCATCTGAATGTATTATTTTGAAAGGTATGCATAAAATCGATTCAAACTTCTCAACAGAAATAGTATAAAATATAGGTATGTTTTGTTATTGTAAATAAATCATGTTATATATCGTGAATATTGTTATATAGACATGTTTAAAGCACGTGAATATACACTGATAGTTTTGTATTTAGACTCGAAACATTTTTATCTGCATTAAAATTATTGTGTCTATTCTACATAATTTCGAAATAAAATATAGGGAAACTTACTTCAGAGAAAAAGATCGAAACGTTGAATCAACTAGATGACAATGTAAAACTATTTTACAAGGGTAGCGTGAAAACTTTTGCACAACAATACTTCTACATTATCCACATTAGGGTGGTGCGTCGGTATAGGGGAATTTTTTTTTGGAAATTGAAAACCCCTGTATGCGGGAAAGTTGTGTTTTAGTAAAACGATAATGCAGTTTTTTTTTACATTTTTATTCCACCCCCCAACAGGTCCAAAATATATTTAAAAAAATCGAAAATTTAAAAGCTTGTACGCGGGGAAGTTGTGTTTTAATACGACAAGATAGGTTAGATTTTTATTCCACCCCCTTCCACCCCCCCCACACGTACAAAATTTATTTAAACAAAAAAAATCGAAAATTGAAAACGCCTGTATGAAAAAAGTTGTGTTTTGGTAAGAGAATGATGCAGTTTTTTTAGATTTTTGCTTTATCCCCGTCCACCCCCACAGCTGCACAGGTCCAAAATTGGTTTATAGAAAAATCGAAAATGAAAAACGCTTGTTATGTGTTTCGTTTGTTTGACAAGGCAAACCCCTGACGTAGGAAATTGGAGAAGAATCGGGATTTTCCACAATTTGCTTCAAGTGATCTTCAGATAAACCTCTAGTAACAGGAGGTTCGTGGTATACAATATTCTGCCAATCTATCAACTCAATGTACTCCTTGCATTCAAAGTTGAACCGGGGAATAATAAAACTGCGAACGCCGCGCGCCGTTACTATGGATTGTGTTATCTTCATTATTGCCTACTTTTAAGATTCTATGGTAGGCAAGTTTTCTAATATAGATTATTTCATCCCAAAGCATTGATAGCAATATGTTCTCAGGGTGTCCGAAGTAACCATTTCTCTGAATGCCAGACTGGACTATATTTTTAAGATCCTCTGGTAAGTAATTACATAATCTGATGATTTCAAAAATATGCTTGGGTCCATAAAGGCATGTAGAATGAACGTCGTTAATGTAATTAAATTAGTAGACGGATTTTCAGTAGAGGCATAACAGTCTTAGAATTCTGTTACCCGTAGTCACCCACCTCTAGAGTGATTAAGATGTCCACTTGGTCAGGCAAAACAGTGTTCCCAAGATAAAACTCTTTTTATAGGATTGTATTAAAAAAAAAGCATGTATCAGCTTTATATAGTATTTTGTCTAAAAATCAACTAAATAGCTACAATTTCTAATATTTTCAAAACTTTTACTTCTGACGTATTTTCATTTTTCAAAAAAATGGTTTTCAAAAAAGATGCCTGACTGTTGTAGAGGTTCGATTGATGAAGATAATACATTTTTCCTAATGAAATAAAACGAATTGGTTTCATTGTCCACCTCCCCGTCTTTTATTTTGTCTTTTATTTTTTTTACTAAATTACCCAAAGAGTAAAACTAACAACCTTCATTGTCATATTCTTTATTTAACACACTTAAAATATAATTATATATTTTTACTTCTATTTTTTATTTTGCTTAATATAAAAAAAAACATCTAATACATATATCTGAAATTATTTCTTTTTAGCATTTGCTTGTTTAACCATCATCTCCGCTTGTTCTTCTTCAAGCATTTCTATCGCTCTCAGTCGTCTTCTAACCATAGGAACTTTAGTCCACCATGTTTCAAAAGCTTCGTCTTCCTGTAATTATATCATTAAAATTATTAAACATATTTTTTAATATTTTACAGTACTGTTTTACTTCTTTATATACGGGAGTTCTTTTACAAAGGGAATTGACCAGCTCTAAAGGACTCAGAGGGTGAATTCTTAATTGTAACATCCGTTTCACAGTTATGACTTCTTTCACTGTACTGGCAATAGATCCTGCAATCAAATAAATGAAAGTTTTCTTGAAGGTTTTTGTTTATTTTGATGTGAGTTTACCAACTGTGTATCCATCAGATATCTTGGTCATAACGCTGGTATCAAATTTCCAACTCACCGCCATGTATTGACTTAGAAGATGTGTCCATATGAAGTATCTGTAATAGATTAACTCAGATCAAACCGCAGTAGTGCCATTCACCAGAAAGCGAAGTTTGAAAAACTTGAAAAGAATCCATCTAGATGGAAAGGAAATACTGCCATCACAGGAAGTGAAATATCTGGGAATAACCCTGGATAGTAAACTTCTCTGGAACAGGCATATTAAGAACATTACCAGGAAAGCCACAAAGGCTCTCATGATATGCAGAAGACTGGCGGGAAATAGGTGGGACTGCGCCCCTAACATTTTGCGCTGGATGTATACCATGATAGTAAGACCCATGATTACTTATGGAGCAGTTGCTTGGTATACAAAACTAGAGCAAAGTACAGCAAGGCAAAACCTGTGCAAAGTACAGAGACTGGCATGTATCTGCATCACAGGTGCCATGAGAACATGTCCACCAGCAGCAATGGAGGTCATTCTAGACCTAACACCACTGCACATTGTCGTCGGTAGTTATGCCAATGCGACAATGATTAGAATGGTTACTGACGGAAACAGTACTGGGAGAATATTCAGGTCAGGGGCTTGGAACACCCTCAAAAAGAAAATTCCACTTCTCCAACTCCCAGTGGATGACATACCAATAATTTACAACTTTGAGAAACACCTCACTGTAGTATTGAGTAATAAAAAGGATTGGAAGAAAGAAACGCTTACTCAGCATATAAAAGACCATACCATTACGTGGTATACTGATGCCTCCAAAACCAAAGCAGGGACAGGGATAGGAGTATTTGGGCCGAAAACTGAATACTCCGAACCAATGGGCACCTACCCCAGTATCCTTCAGGCTGAAATTTGCGCTATCGAAAGATGCGTACAATTTATCTTAGATAGGAACTATCGAAAACAGGAAATTGCCATCCTATCCGATAGTCAAGCAGCACTTAACGCGATCAACTCAGTAACCATCAATTCGAAGTTGGTCAAAGAATGCCTAGAGAAGCTCAACAAATTAGGTAAAGAAAATAAAGTCCTCCTACTCTGGGTGCCTGCTCACCAAGGGATAGAAGGCAATGAAAAAGCAAATGATCTAGCTAGAAAAGGAGCGAACACTCCACTAACTGGACCAGAACCGTTCTGTTTTCCAAACGGGAACCAACTGAAAGCGGAACTGAAGAATCTGAAAGACTCCATCCGTAACTTGGAATGGGTGTCCTCCAACGGTCTAAGACACTCGAAAAAGTTCCTTAGAACTTATGACCGAGAAAAATCAAAGGTTTTCCTTGATTTAAGTAACAACAATCTTCGAATTGTCACGGGGTTTCTAACAGGACACTGTCTCCTCAACGAACACCTCAGTAGGCTGAAACTGAGAAACAACGGCGAATGCAGATTTTGTGGGGAAAATGGGGAAACACCAGAACACCTTATCACTGAGTGCGCCGAGACGACGACCATTCGTGCCATGAACCTTGGTACGTCTGCGTGCCATGAACCTTGGTACGAACCTGGTATGTCGAGGATGGAGAGCTGGCCTCTGTGGAGCCGTCTCAGATACTGGCTTTTCTTAAAGCCCTGAGACTGTATGATGAGTTATAACTCGTTATAACTCAAGAAAGGGGAACACACAATAGATCTATAAGGTCGCGGTGATTAACTCCCCTCCTAAACTTTCTACATTCTACATCTGTAATAGAGGTTTATTATCATTTTTGGAAAATGGTATTTTGCCGTTCAAGTCCAATGCTAGCCAAGACATTCAAAAAATAATCTAATTTGTGGTCCGGTGACTCTAACTAAATGAGTTTTTTTTCACATAATAATGTGATTTTTTCTTTTAAAGATGCCAGAATTTGTAATAAAGATTCATCGGTAGATGAAATAATAAATAAATTAAACCCAATTTTTCTTAAAACATGTGTTTATTTTTTTAAAGTTTGATGCCCTCTAACGGACAAATGAAGCACTTCTGTATAGAGGTAAATTGTGTCCAATGAACTTATTTTTACTCCAAAAATACGTAGTAGTTCTACAGCTTCAGTCAGAACCTGGCAATTACTGTAATAAATTAGTGGTTTCAATTAGCGTAGAAGTTTGTTCCTCTAATTTGAATGTAAGTATTTAGAACATCAAAATTAGTGGTAGGAATTTTCAATTAGTGGAAAAAATTACCAAACTTTTAACTTTTCCAATAATTATACTTCAAAATTTGCGAGGAATGCCATTTTGGCCTTTGATTATCATCCGTCAATACAAAATGTGGTTAGAAATCAAAAGTTTATTGTTTTATAAGCTGGATATTAAACCGAAACTAAAGTTTCAAAAAGAGTCGTACTATATTTACAAATTCATTTACACACTAGTAGATATAAAAAACATTTTTGGTAAACTCTGTCTCAAATAGTTTCTGAAAAATAAGATTATTTTTTTAAAAGGTGTCCGATTTAATTTATATCTCCGAAACTAAAGTTTCAAAAAGAGTCGTACTATATCTACAAATTCATTTACCCACTAGTAGATATAAAAAACATTTTTGGTAAACTCTGTCTCAAATAGTTTCTGAAAAATAAAATTAGTTTTTTTAAAAAAACTTTCCCAAAAAAATCGATACAACTTATTACCGCAAGCTGTTGCTAGGATATTTTATTAATTTTAATTGTATTTTTTTAGACATTGTGAAAGATCGTAAACTAAAAAGTATAAAGTGTAATTGCAACCACTAATTTATTCCACTAATTGCGAGGTTCTGAATGAAGCTTTAGTCCACGGAATATTGGAACACTCTGTACATTTACATCTTTTAATTTTTAATGGTTACATTAATTTGGATTATTTTACTAATTAATTTAATGAATAGCAGAGAAAATAATTACACTCGAACTATAATTATAAAAGTTAATAATGACAATGATAGGTAAATTAGAAACAAAAGTGGTGAAAATTAATAGAAATGTCGACAAAGACGCCTACAAATTATATAATATTTTGAATTAATACGTTTATTTTGTTACTGCCTGTTCATTAGTTTTTCGAAATTGTCTAAAGCTTAAAAAGTATATTATTTTTAAGTATACTAATTAACTTGTTTATTATTCTTTATTATAAGTGACACAGGTGACATCTGCTGTTATTAAAACATTATTTTTTGGTTGTCCTAGAGTCTAGAGTGTGCGATTGAGGTGGAAAACAAAATGATTAAAGGGAAGACATGATGAAATTTATGATGTTCGGAAAATTTTATTTGGGACCTGTTATGTATAATTTTTATACACAGGGTTTCCCAGAAATAAGTGCAAGTATTTTAACTGGTATTATAGTTCAACCCCAGAAACACTCCCATGAGGTTTTTTGCGATTTTTTTTTAATTCGGAATTTTTTGAAAAATATTTTGGAATTTTTTAGTTAAACATAATTTCTTGATAATATAGCAACATAGGTAATAGATTAAATTTACAAGAAAGAAATTCCAGAAAAGATCCAGTGGTTCTCAACATTTTAGCAAAAAATATTTTTTTTTGGAAATTTTCAAAGTAAAATAACTCCGTTATTTTGGACTTATATGTTTCTTTTATCGAGATCTGCCACCCATTAAAATACTTGCACTTCTTTCTGGGACACTCTGTATATTATTTAATTTTTCAATATTTATTGATGCACGGTGTGTATTTTGTTAAGAGCATTGATTTCTTTACCTGGAGCTGTACTTAGGACGAGGTACTATGAAGAATTTTTGGTACACTTGTTGCAGGAGTTTTTGGTCGGAATCCCAAGGACAATCGGTGACTCCAATAAGGACCACTCGATCTTCTGGACTAAAATCTAGAATATAAATATTTAAGTAATTTTATACATAAAGTTTTAAAAATTTACGTAACAATTTTTATGATCATAGGGTGAGAGAATTTAAATTTGTTTAAATAATAAAAATTATTTATTTTTATATTTATTAAATTATTAAGAAAATTTGTGTGGTAAGTACAGGGTAGACACTAAGAATAGCTCTCGGCTGTATCCCGGAAAGTATTAGCACTAGCGGCTGGCGGAAAAAAATATCTGTAACTAAAGAGGCTATGGGAAATTGATGGAAATTATTTTCAAGTTTGTAGAACGACCGCTAGGGGGCGCAACTGCAACAAAAAATACGAAAATGGAGTTTTTACACAATTTTGCCTAGATAAGGTGTACTATAAGTAACAGCTTCATAATCTTGAGTAAATTTTGAATATTTTTTGTTAGAGCCATTTTCCCTTATCTACCAAAATAAAGTAGTGGGGGAAGGTTAGATCTGTTTTTATTTGAATATTAATAACTCTGGACTGGATGATCGGAATCCAACAAGCGAGGGCTCGTTTAAAAGAGCGTTTCTTACTCTATATTGTACCATATAAACAATAATAATAAGCTTTTGAACGTCAACGCTAGGGGGCGTTGTCTTACAATTTAACAAACATTGCGCGTTTTTTCAAAAAATTAAATGCAATAGTATATGTAATTTAGCTGATAGTAAAGAGTAGTAAAAGCTAGCCTCCTCTAGCCCCCTCTAGCCACCCAAGCCCTCCTAGCCCCGCCTAGCCCCACCCTTGACCCCCTAGCCACCCCTAGCCCCCACTAGCCCCCCACTGGACACCTCTAGCTCCCCTCTAGCCCACCTTTTAGCCCCCATTTAGCCCCCCTAGCCCCCCATTTTAATATTTTAATATTTTAATATTTTAATATTTTAATATTTTAATATTTTAATATTTTAATATTTTAATATTTTAATATTTTAATATTTTAATATTTTAATATTTTAATATTTTAATATTTTAATATTTTAATATTTTAATATTTTAATATTTTAATATTTTAATATTTTAATATTTTAATATTTTAATATTTTAATATTTTAATATTTTAATATTTTAATATTTTAATATTTTAATATTTTAATATTTTTAATATTTTTTTAATATTTTAATATTTTAATATTTTAATATTTTAATATTTTAATATTTTAATATTTTAATATTTTAATATTTTAATATTTTAATATTTTAATATTTTAATATTTTAATATTTTAATATTTTAATATTTTAATATTTTAATATTTTAATATTTTAATATTTTAATATTTTAATATTTTAATATTTTAATATTTTAATATTTTAATATTTTAATATTTTAATATTTTAATATTTTAATATTTTAATATTTTAATATTTTAATATTTTAATATTTTAATATTTTAATATTTTAATATTTTAATATTTTAATATTTTAATATTTTAATATTTTAATATTTTAATATTTTAATATTTTTAATATTTTAATATTTTAATATTTTAATATTTTAATATTTTAATATTTTAATATTTTAATATTTTAATATTTTAATATTTTAATATTTTAATATTTTAATATTTTAATATTTTAATATTTTAATATTTTAATATTTTAATATTTTAATATTTTAATATTTTAATATTTTAATATTTTAATATTTTAATATTTTTAATATTTTAATATTTTAATATTTTAATATTTTTAATATTTTATTTTAATATTTTTAGATATTTTAATATTTTTAATATTTTAATATTTTAATATTTTAATATTTTAATATTTTAATATTTTAATATTTTAATATTTTAATATTTTAATATTTTAATATTTTAATATTTTAATATTTTAATATTTTAATATTTTAATATTTTAAATTGAACTATATTTAGTTCTGTTAATTGAACTATATTTAGTTCTGTTAATTTAACTAATATAGTTCTGTTGATTGATCTAAAATAGTTCTGTTAATTGAACTAATATAGTTCAGAACTAAAATAGTTCTGAACTAATATATTTCTTAAACCAAACCAAACAAAATAAAATTAAACGGTCTAATTTTATTTTGCTTATTCTAGCAACTTTACCAACTTCCTCTGAACTGACATGGAAGATTTCTACTGAAGTTATTAGTAAATTAAAACAAGGTCTGGTGTCTTTGTTGAATGACAGTTTCAGCAAACAACTCTTGGAAACTGTACAGGTAAGTTTGTAAATAAATAAATAAATTACAGGTAATCTTAACATAAATATTAATATAAATATATTTTTTCTTTGTTCCAGGATCGATTGATATCGGATAAGAGCTTTGTGGAAGCTCTGCTAAGAAAAATTAAAAGACTTCTTCAGTTTGTGCCAGTGAAATGATTGTTTTAAGTGTATCATGTTATTAATAATTGTAGATTTTTTTATTGAATAAATTCTCTTTACAAACGATTTTTGGTATTTATTCCTTTTAAATTATAATAAAGAAAAATATAAAATTAATAGGCAACTAATAAAACAGTAGCTTATTAATGCATTGAAAAATACAGATAACCAATATTGCACTACATTATTTGTTTTTTAATTGCCTAATAATTATTTTTTCTAATATTAATATTAAGCTTAGAACAAGCAAACATTTTTTATGAAGAATGCATTTTCCTCTAAATGTCAATAATAAAAAAGTTTTTTTCTCGTGTAAAGGCAATCCGGGGACGTACTGTATATTTTTCTTTTTATGTTTGCTAATATATCTACCAACGACTTTTTTCTGGGAAGATATTGTTTAATTATGGTTTTCTTATTGCGTCGTCGATGGTGTTTGTGCTGTGCAAATATATATCTAAAAAGTTAAAATATCTGTATAACTACAATTGACGTAGACTTTTTTTTATTGAAGATTAAAATTATTATTAACTATTAAATTCTGTTTAACTTTGATATCTAACAATGATTGTTAAATATTTATAATAATATTGCCAATTTTGGTAATTTTGATATTGAAACATTACCACTGGATTAAATGTTACTATATAGTTACTAGAGCTTTCATTAAAAAATTGTTTCTTTACTGAATGTTCTAGCTGAATAAGTTAAAGCCTGTTAAATGTGGATCAAAATAAAATGCTGACACTGTACTTTTAACAATCTTGGCTAAGTCTTTTTTCAGTCTTTTTGGATCAGTCTTGTCCGTTTTGGGTATTTTCTTTACAAACGGCCTTTCAGCATTGTCCATGTATATCACCGATGGCTGCAACAGCCTTGATACTTTTACCACCAAATGTATGAGCATGATCAGTCCAGATTTTCCAGGATATTTTCCAACTATATTTGAGGGAGTTAGATCAAAAAGCACGGCGCCTGAAAATCAAAAAAAGCTTTTTGTATATCGCATTTTGATAACTAATTATTTAATTAAAGTTGATCCAATGAGATAATACAGGACATCGACAGTTGTTGAGTTGAAACATTTAGAAGTTCCCACTCAGCATAGTTTATGACTTTGTGGCATTTTTGGAAAAGGAGTTTTATGACAAACCTACTGAACGACTAAAATATTGTTGTGTAGTGAAAATCTTAAATAGGAAAATTAATGTGTAGTTTTTTGTAAAACTTGATCATCTTGTATACATTACCTGCTTCGTTGCATACAGCGTGTACCAGCATATCTTTGCCAGAACCTTTTGGTCCAGCCAAAATTAACGATTTAATGTGAGGTGTGGTTTGATGAAGATGGTCTGAGAGTAATGGTATCACGCAATATTCTGTCAACACCTTAAAATTAAAATGTATATTAAATATATATATTACGTAAAGAATCACTGATAAATTTGTCATCTGGGGGCACGGCATCGGCAGTGCCCCCGCCAAGTCGAGCACAACCGACTGAAGGCATCCTTTTCTTGAAGGCATTAACAGCACTTTTGACTACCCTGTAACTTCGTTGTGAATAAAGCAAGAATATTAATTTTTACTAAACATGAGGACATACTATAGTTGTATATTCTGAACCCAGTAGCTTTTTACATAACTGCTATATTTATACTATTTATTTATTTATCGTATGGCAAGCACATCGTTTAACAGATATTACAAAATAATACGCGTAAAAATATAAACAATACAAAAAGATATAAAATATATAATTATAAAAAGAATACGGTATATCACAAACAAAATACGCGCAACAGGAGACAAATACAGTGAGATTAAATACAAATGTCAAAATTACGTATATAGTCTATTGCAGCGTCATCAGCAGTCAGGAAATCGGAGTAGTTTCCACCGTAAGCTCTTATCTCGCACTCCTCCACTATGTGGCGTACGGTTTGTCTGTCGGCTCCACAGTCGCATCTGGGTGAAGAGAGTCTGCCATCTGTGAAGAGAGTCTGCACATCTTCCGTGGTTCGTGCGTATTCTGTTGAGGGATGACCATGTTTTGCGAGGCAGCTGGTATCCAGGCGGTTTTTTAGTGATGCAGGGGAGGGCTTGACAGTGCTCAGGACATGCCTCTCGCCATTGTTCTTTCCAGGACTCTACTAGGCTAAAGCCCATGTTATGTAATTCCTTGGCTGTTTTCATTGTTGGGTGTCTGGATCGAAGCCTATCCATCTCCAAGTCAGGTATGTCACGATGTATAGGGAGCTGGGGGTTGTTGTTTGCCTTCCTGTACTCCCGGAGGAGAGCATTGCTCCGACGCAAATGCGCAGGTGGAATATGACTCAGAATAGGCAGAAAATGTGTTGGGGTTGTTCTTATAGTCCGGCTGACAATTCGCATCGTGTTATTCAGCTGTACGTCAACTTTCTTCGTATGAGCGCTATTCATCCAGACCGGGGCACAGTATTCTGCTGTTGAGTAAACCAGTCCAAGAGCTGATGTATGGAGCGTGTCAGCCGAGGATCCCCAGGTAGTACCACACAACTTGTGAAGGATATTATTCCTCGTCTTTAATTTGGCTGCAGTGTTTTCCAGATGCCGCTTATAGGTGAGCGTTCTGTCTAATGTGACTCCAAGATACTTTGGATACTCGTTATGTTGGAATCGATTTCCTTCGAAAAGGACGTCAAGTCGTCTGCCTGTCGATTTATTACAGAGATGGAAACATGTCGCTTCGGTTTTTGTAGGGTTTGGTTGCAGTCTCGATTTACGGAAATCTGTACTTAAGGTCACAAAGTCAGACGACAAAGTTGCCTCCATTACCTCAAAGTTCTTATGCTGCGTCGCCAAGACCCAATTGTCTGCGTATCCAAACTTCCTGGAGGATGTGTGAGGCATATCAGCGATATACAAGCTGAACAGCAATGGGGCCAGAACGGAGCCCTGTGGTAATCCGTTATTTAGGATCCTTTGGGCACTTGTTTGTTCTCCCATGGGGTGTAAAGCTAGTTCGCCTCACCGTGGTGCACCCTGGATAGCGTTGTAAAACGTGAACTAATTGAACTAGCACTAACTGGCAGCCAGACAATCAGAACGATCTCCTGGCTATCAAAGGCACATCACTACTCGATGACACAGAATATATTTATACTACAAGGATACTACTACTCTCAAGGCATACTAAGAATTATATATGGAAGACTGCCATTTTACTAGAAACTCTAGGTGTTAAATAGGTACCTGTCTAATATCTCCTAAATCAATTGGTGGCTCTTTTTCTTTGTTATGAGGTGCAGGAACACTAAAGGACCTCTCTCCTTTGAAGTCCTGCAACCAAACCTCTGGATATCTAAGGAAAAAAACATTACTTTAAATAGTTATAAGAAATACATAAGTAAAATTGGACTATACTTTTTAATGATTCCATTAGCAACTAACTCTTCAAACAGCGACTCGAGCGTTCTGTCTGGTGTCAAATCTTTTTCTTTCTTCTTTTTACTTTTCTTACCGGTTTTTCTCGCTTTTTTACTCGATTTCTTTTTTCCTTTGTGACCTCTGTCTTTATCAAAAGCGTCTTGAAGTAGCAGTAGTTCAGCTTTCATCATTTCGTCTACTACTTTTCTCAGTTCGTTTTCCATATCTGTCATTTGTTCGTGTTCGATCATGTCTTTGTAGTGATATTGGCTCGGATTGGTGGTTTCGTCTTTGTTCTTCCATTTTTCTTCGTATTCTTCTTTTCTAATTTGAAAATGATTTTTTTGATCGTATAGTGCGTTAAATACAGCCAGCAATAAAGTAGTAAGTAAGTAGTACTTTAGTAAAAACTAAAGTAATGTACAACGAACAGGTAGACAGAAAAGACATTTTAATAAATAACACAAAAAAGAAGAAGAAAGAACAAAGAAGATCAAATATAAGTATAAAAAAGAAAAAAGATAAAAAAAATTGAAAGATCAAATACAAGTATAAAACATCAAGTTTCAATAATTATGACAATTCTCTCCATCCGAATGACCAAATTTTTTATGAAGAATACATTTTCTCAAAATGTCATTAATAAAAAAGTTTTTTCTCTTGTAAAGACAATCGGGGGACATATTGTATATTCATCACAACTTTGGTTATAAAATATAAATAGTTTACCGTATATTTAACTCAGGAACAAAAGTTGATACTGTAGCTCTTAGTACACCCTCCTCCTCATCTGCTTCAGATGGTTTGGATTCTTTTGGACTTTTAGATGATTTGTCCTTTTTTAATTTGGAGTCTTTTGATGATCCAGGGGTGGACTTGCTTGTTTCACTCTCAGTTCCTGTAAACGTTTAAGTTTTCATTGACAAAATTAATAAACTTGTTGTAAAGAAACATACCTTGTCTACTAAGTAGAAGTCTGGAAGCACTACGTTCTGATCCGGTGTATTCTGGAATTTTTCCAGTTTGTGCCTTGTATTCATGCAGCCATCCTCTAACTTGATCACTTAGTTGTTCTAATACAGGACCTCTAAATAATAACTGAATTATTCAAGACAAAATGAATTAACTTAGATTCACTTTAAAAGGATATCTTTACAGGGTTTATTATAAGCGATATCTTTCTATTATTGAATAAAGAGAAAAATAATTAAATAGAAGAGAAAGAGCAAAATAATTAAATTGAAGAGAAAAATAATTAAAAAATTATTAAAGAAAAACATAAATTAAATATAAAATCAAATGAATTAAAGTAACGTTTAAGATTTTTGTACCGTTGTGTTTTTTCTAAATAACTTCGAATCTTCGTTACATCCTCTTCATACTCTTTCTGCCTCACTTTTTGCAACTGCCTTCTTTTTTCTTGATTCTGTTGGTCTTTGATTAGTTCTTCGTTTTTCTTCTTCGGTGGTGGAATCATGCCTAAATCATAATTTTTTAGTAACTCTCTTTGAATAGTTTATATAGGGAATATACCGATCAGTAGCATCTCTTGTAATTTTCTTCTTCTCGTAGCTCTACGAGTGATGTATCCTCTCCAGATTTTTTGAATTTTTAACGCTGCTGCCAAATTAATACCCAAACCAGCGCCTTCGTCCTCTTCCCCTTCTCCTAGAATGCATAGTTTTGGTTTCGATTATTTAATTTTGTATGTGAAATGATACTAAAAGAATTGCTTTATTTTTAAATAAAGACAATGGAAGTCCGAAATTTTTTGAATAAGTATAATAAATTAATCATTTTCTGTCATATTCAAAGAAATACAGGGTCGTTGGCCGAAAAAAACCTTCATAATCGTGTTTCTGGGGTCGAAATATACTACCCCGAAAAATATTTGCATATTTGCATTTATTGAAGACTCACCCTGTATAACATAAAAAGGTAACTGAGAATGTGCCGTCTTTTAAGTCATTGGGATATCTCTATAACATGTTAAATAATTGGCCATGACATTTAAGTAGACAACAAGGTAAATAATTATTATTATATTATATATTATTATATAAATATATAATTATATTTAATTTTAAATTGGTTAGTTTAATTACTTGTTTTTCAAATTTACGTATACTGATATTTGTGTATCTAAGTATATATAAATTTATTATTAAATTATCTGCGTAAAAGAATATTAGAACGTATCAATATTTTATCTGAAAGATTGCAGTTCTCAATAACATCTCTTGTTTATTACTTATATCGCCATCAAAATCATGAACTTCTCCAAATTTTGTTAGTATTAGTGACAAAAATAAGTTAACCTGATAATATAAAGTATAATTAAATTCATATTTTTGTGAAATTAACACTGTTTACTATACAGGGTGTTTATACCAAAACTACCGTAATGAAACTGATACTTTCAGGAAATAGTATACCGGGTGCGCCTCAAAAGTGGCTCACCCCTATAACTTTTTTATTTTTATCAGATAAAAAACGAGATTTGGTATGTTAGTAAATGACATAATTTAGGATTAATTGACGTATTCAATTGTTTTCAGTTACTTCCTGCTTCACCAGTGACTACAACTTTTGATTTTTAAATGGCACTCTCAGTATTCTTTTACTTTATTCGACACAAAATGACACTCTGAATAGAATTACATATCATATGTCAACTTTTGACATATTCGGTCTAAAAATATCGTATTTTAAATTTGAATCTAGAATGCCATGGCTGTGTTAAAAACACTAATTTTTAGTAAATTAGCCTGGAAATATATATTTGATCAATGTTTTTAGTGTCTTGTCCTGGCAGGTTAAAAGATGCCCAAATCCAGTGGCGGATACAGAGGGGGACCCATGCAGCCAAGGCCCCCCCCTATAATCTATAAATTGGATTAAATATTAGGCTTCTGGGTTAAAAATTGCGCTCTAAAAAGCATATTATACATTACTTTTTGTTTGCCCCCCCCCCTGAAATAAATTCCTGTATCCGCCCCTGCCCAAATCGTATTTTTAATCACAACTCATTTTTTCAAATGAAACGAGGGTGGCTCATTTTTGGAAAAAGCATTTTTTGACGAATAATTTGGTACCACACACTTGGTATTTCGGGTCAAATTGTCGTTATGAATCGCATGTTACAATTTTAAATCAACCATATACAAAAATGTCAAAAGTTGGCATGATATATCATTCTATTCAGCGTCACTTTCTATCGAATAAAGTAAAAACAAATTGATGAATGAAATTGATGAAAATAGATTAATAGCAGTCTTATAATAATTACCCCAAGAAGCATCTATCTGACTTCGAACTAAATCTGACCTGAAGCGACGTCAGACTTTGTGCAAATTTAGGTCGGGTGCTCGTGATACGACCTGTGACGTCGCTTTCCTATTAAAAGCGACGTCGTTGGATCCGAGTCGGTAAATCCAACGATCTGTCGACGTACAAAATAACAACGTACCATTTTTTACATTTCCCAACGTCGTTCTAATGTTGGCTTGCACGACGTACATATACTTAAACTAGCTCCGACGTCTACCCGTCCGAATAGGATACGTCTCACTGATAACTTTAAACTAACGTCCAATTATATTTTGTTGTATTTTATGTTCATATTTATAACCTAATTTACGTATCTCTATTTATGTCAGTAATACAACCTATTAAGTAGCATTTGCGACCTAATGAACATCATTATGTACATAACCTAATAAAAGTTTTGTAAACAAATTTAAATCTTTTTTATTATGCCTAAAAACACTAAAAAGGCATTTAGATATTCATCTACATTTTACAGAAAGAGGTCGAGGCTTTTGCAAATAATAATAGTAGTAGTGATGTCTTGCCCATCCGTAAAATGCTTTTTATCCGAAGAGATACAGAGCCATAATTGGTGCATCTTAATTTCATTTTTAGCTTTAGGATTCCAGCAGACCCCATCCTCCTCCGACATGTGAGGTTAGGCTTAAAAAAGCGGCTGCCCATTTAACGAGAAAACAAAACTAAAAATAAAGTTGCACAAATCCACAAATCACTGGTACGCAAAACGCAAGTGAGGTTACGTGGCGTATTGGAATTATATACGTCATAACACGATTGCCGGTCGTCCGGTTTGATGACTTCGGTCGTGTGAGACGACTAATGTTGGAGACCCGGTCGGAATTGTATATTGGTTGTCTATATTAAGTCGGACACAGAAACTGCCATTCTAACACGTATCCGATTGTCAGCCATTTAAAATTGTTTTTTGTTTTTAAAATTTATATTCACATTGATTTCTAGTGGAATAATATTGATAAGGTTGAGTTTGGGGGAATCACAGTACAGTTTTATGATTAAACCAGCTAGAAAATAAAAAAATATTTTGCGAGTTACTTTTATAGATATTTTTATTTCATAAATCTACCTACTTTTGAAGGGCAGCTGTTGTTTTCCGGAGTATTTTAATCAGATATATCAAGAAAGTGACTTCCAAGCTGACAAAACTGATGTCTGGATTAATGATTCAAATTATTATATGAAATTAAATAGGTACTTATAGTTATATTCGAGGAGTGATTATGAATCCATTTGTAATTGTGGGGTAGTTTGGTTAGGTTTTTATGTATTCTTGGTAGCGAATATGAAACCAAATGTAACGTAAGTGCTTAGCGACGAATTTTGCGACTAAAATCCAACGTAATATGACGTTGGTAATTGGTAGAATTACATTCCCTATTAGGTCAGATAACCGACGTCGAGGCGACCTGAATCTGTATTCCCCCATTTAGGTGCAAATAAGGGTCGCTTCAGGCGGTCGAACCGACGTTGGTACCCGACGTCGGGTTTATTGAACGCGACGTATACCCGACGTTAGATAACGTCCAAATGCTACTTGGGTACATAGCAGTCTTAATAATTACATGCAGTCATAGGCAGTCTTCTTCATAGTCATTAGCAGTCGCTTGGAAGTAACATGATATTTTGGCAGTAGATGTACATTTTTTACCGAAGTGAGACATCCCTCGGTCTTAAATAAGTGCAAATGTTTTTAGGGACAGTATATTTTGGCCCTAGAAACACGTTTATGACGACTACACATCTATAGAAGTTAGAAGTCTGAAACATGAACAAAACTAAAAACACAGAATATTTTTAGAAACTTTGGAATTTTTTGAAAAAAAAATTGTAATTAAAATCACTGACGAAGGTTCGACATATTATTTTTTACACCCTGTATATTATACCTGCAGTGGTTGGTTTACTCTTTTCCTTCATGCTCCTTATCTCTCTCATAAACTGAGCCCTTAAACGTCCTTGTCTAGCTCTTTCGTGAGTCTGTATTATTAAAATAGCTTGCTGTTCGGTCATTGGAGGTTTTTCTTCTTCCTGACAGTAATTTGAAAATTAACAACAACTTTTATTACTTTTATTTATTCTTACTTTATCAGCAAATCCTAGTTTGTTTAATACATCCTCGATCAGTCTTTTCTTGTATGCAATATCGTCCTCTCTTTCTAGTCTGAAGCAGGTGGGTACTTGGAGCTCCGATGCTAAGGGTGTGAGATTTAACTTTTCGAAAACGTCTCCGCAATGGGTCCATTCGTTTAAATCTGCTTCGACCAAATCCGCCTTAAAATAAAATTTTAAAAATTATTACAAATTCAATGCTAATCAATTTAATTATACAGGGTGTTCCTAAATGACATGCTAATATTTAAGGGCGTGATTCTTGGACCTATTCTAAGTGAAAAACTTCATATGAATGTATGTCCTAAACATCTTAATTTCTGAGATACAGGGTGGTAAATTTTTCTAAAAAAAACTTATACATAACTCTGATTTTATTACAGATATCTTTATAAAACTTGATACATGTCTTCTATGCATCAAAATACTTTTTTTGGTGTACAAAGAATTTTATTTATTTCAACCAGTGCCGTCTATGTGGGTTTTACATTGAATATTTTGTAGAAAAAAGTGGTACACCACTGACCACTGACCACTGACCTTCTCTAGCCCCCTCTAGCCACCCTCTAGCTCCCGTCTAGACCCGCCCCCCTCTAGCCCCACTATTTTAATATTTTAATATTTTAATATTTTAATATTTTAATATTTTAATATTTTAATATTTTAATATTTTAATATTTTAATATTTTAATATTTTAATATTTTAATATTTTAATATTTTAATATTTTAATATTTTAATATTTTAATATTTTAATATTTTAATATTTTAATATTTTAATATTTTAATATTTTAATATTTTAATATTTTAATATTTTAATATTTTAATATTTTAATATTTTAATATTTTAATATTTTAATATTTTAATATTTTAATATTTTAATATTTTAATATTTTAATATTTTAATATTTTAATATTTTAATATTTTAATATTTTAATATTTTAATATTTTAATATTTTAATATTTTAATATTTTAATATTTTAATATTTTAATATTTTAATATTTTAATATTTTAATATTTTAATATTTTAATATTTTAATATTTTAATATTTTAATATTTTAATATTTTAATATTTTAATATTTTAATATTTTAATATTTTAATATTTTAATATTTTAATATTTTAATATTTTAATATTTTAATATTTTAATATTTTAATATTTTAATATTTTAATATTTTAATATTTTAATATTTTAATATTTTAATATTTTAATATTTTAATATTTTAATATTTTAATATTTTAATATTTTAATATTTTAATATTTTAATATTTTAATATTTTAATATTTTAATATTTTAATATTTTAATATTTTAATATTTTTAATATTTTAATATTTTAATATTTTAATATTTTAATATTTTAATATTTTAATATTTTAATATTTTAATATTTTAATATTTTAATATTTTAATATTTTAATATTTTAATATTTTAATATTTTAATATTTTAATATTTTAATATTTTAATATTTTAATATTTTAATATTTTAATATTTTAATATTTTAATATTTTAATATTTTAATATTTTAATATTTTAATATTTTAATATTTTAATATTTTAATATTTTAATATTTTATTTTAATATTTTAATATTTTAATATTTTAATATTTTAATATTTTAATATTTTAATATTTTAATATTTTAATATTTTAATATTTTAATATTTTAATATTTTAATATCACTGTTATTTTTATTAGTATATAGGGGGGCTCTAGCGCCCCTCTAGCCCTCCTCTAGCAACCCTCTAGCCCCTCTCTAGCCACCCACTAGCCCCCTCTAGCACCCTCTAGCCCCCTCTATCCCCCATCTAGCCCCCATCTAGCCCCCATCTAGATTTATATTTTTTTTTATTTAAATAGAAAAAATTTTGATTTTTTAATTCTAATTAAGTTGTGGAACGTGTGGTGTTGACGGAAGAAAAGTGTGGCGGAAATGGCCACATGTAACTTTCTCCATCTAACCAAGCAATAATATACCATTTAAAAAAACGAAGGAAACTTTTTTTATATTTTAGAAAATTTGGCATAGAATTTTCAACACCCTGTATGGTTTAATATTACGATATTTGTAGCAAAGGAAGTACAGACCATCTAAAGGAATACTTAATTTTTTAATTATTTTTTTTAATAAGCTGAAAAACAAAAGTATTTTATTTATTTATTTATTAGTATCTCTGAAATTATCAAAACATATTTAATAATATCTTAGGATTACGTAAAGTGATCAGAAAGCCAAAGATACAATAATATACAGGGTGTTCCATTTAAAATAAATTATCCCGATCCATTCACACTTTTTGAAGCCACCCTGTAGAAGGTAAAATATTTTCTTGAAATACATCCTAGTACATATTATATGGTTTGTACTTATACAAAATTCTTATTTTTTTTATTACAGGAGCTACAATTGCCCGACGCACTATTGTCAGACTCAGTAGAGACGACGAAAAAGATAAAAAAATAATAAAAAAATTAAACTTCTGAGCACAGAAGTACTGAGAGGTACTGAGACACTTTGTATATGGATAATAACCTTTTATAGCGATCATTTTTTCGAAGTTTTTTCTTTGGGTGTATGAATTATTATACCTTTAATTCCAAAATCCTTCCAAGTGTCGCTTCGAGCAATTTTCTGAGCAAAGCCCGTTTCTGAGGCTGAACCATCTGATCCACGCACGTTGCCAGTTTGTTCGCGGTGATGATGTATCGCACGTACAGCGTTGCCAATAATTCGCGATGTTCACGCCGATCGGCCTGAGCGGGTTCACTGTTTAGAGTGGCGGCCAAGTACGATTCCGATTGGTTGAATAGTTCGTCGTAATATTTATGAGACATTTTCTAGTTTTTCTATTTTATAATTAAATAAGTATCTTGTTGAAGTTAGTTTTTAGTATGAACTTGCTGTAATGATGATTATATAGAATGGTAATGTATTAAGTACGTACTGTTTGGTCAATTAGTTAACATGGAAACGATTACTTATTCAATTACAATATTATCGATCAAACAAGAATGCCCAGCTATCAAACAAATGCTGTACACGCTGCAGGGGCGCATACATAGGCGTATATAATACTGTAAGGGTAATGGGGGTAATTACCACTCCCAAGCCATAATTTATACACAAGATATAATGTGGCATAAATTAAAATTGTCATATCAAATTAAGAAAATAATAATTCCAATCAAAATACAAAATCTATGAAAATCCAAGTTTATTTTTTCCACAGTCACAATACTTTTCAGTCTTCACTTTTACCCCTCAGCAAATACTTTTACCCTTCCCAGACTCAATATCTAGATCTTGTACCTCAACCTTATACCGTATGATCGAAAATAAACGGTGTCAAGTTAGCTTGGAGAATAACGATCGATTACATTCACTCTTTATATACAGGGTGAGTCTTAAATAAGTGCAAATATTTTCAGGGTCGGTAGATCTTGATAAAAGAAACATATTTTATCTTTACCGTTTTTCAAAAAAGTCAAATGTTGCCATATTATCAAGAAATTATGTTTTTTAACTTAAAAAAAAAATCTAAGATAACGATGACCGGGTGCGTCTCAAAACTCTCGAAAAAACGAGATTTTGTATGTTAGTATATGACATAAATTAGGATTGATTGACGTATTCAATTATTTTTGGCCACATCCTGTTTCACCGGAAATTACTAAAATTTTTGGTTTTTAAATGGTACCATCGGAATATTTCTACTTTATTCGATAGAAAATGATATTCTGAATAGAATGACATATCATATGTCAACTTTGACATTTTTGCTTTAAAAAAATCGTATTTTAAATTTCAATCTAGAGTGGCATGGCTGTTTTAAAAACAGAAATTTTTAATCAAGGAGCCTTAGAAAAATTGACTTGATTGTCTAACGTTTTTCGTGTCTTGTCCTGGCCGGTTTAAAAATGCCCAAATCGTATTTTCAATCATATTTCTCAATTTTTTTAAATGGAAGTAGAGTTGTGGCTCATAAGCTTATTTAGAAAAGGCATTTTTTTCGAATAATTTAATTAGGTTAGGTTAGTTGACTACAAATACCACACACTTGGTATTTGGAGTCAAATTGTCGTTATGAACCGTATGTTACAAGTCCAAATAAACCATATGCGAAAATGTCAAAAAATGATATATGAAGGTGTCCAAAAACAACTGAATACAACAATTAATCCTAATTTATGTCATATACTAACATACCAAATCTCGTTTTTTTATCTGAAAAGGTAAAAAAGTTATAGGAGTGAACCACTTTTGAGCCGTATCCGGTTTAATTAGTTAATTCTAAGTAAATTTCATAACTTATTGCTTTACGATACGCCACTCGTGTAGTATAACACAAGTAACGTGTCGTAAACCAATAAATTATGAAATTTATTTAGAATTAACTAATTAAATTACTGATCAGCCAAATCACAACTCGTGAAATAATAAACAATATAAAATAAGCATTGAAAAATAAAAAAAAATATGAAAAATTTTAAATCAAATTCAAATGATTCAATTGAAATTTCAAGCAGGATTGTCAAAATTAAGGTTCATGATATTTCCCTTTATAATGCATGGATAGAAACATAGAATGGAATAATTATATTCTTGGAAATGTACTTTTTTATTTAAAGAATTCACCATATAATATTTATTTTATATTTAAAAGGACAGCGATCTACATTTTCAAGCCAACTCTGAAGCAGATTTTTTTTCTTTCATATTATATTTCTTTCCATTAGCGTAACTAGTAATTTATACTAGGGTGGGCCTGGGAGGGCCTGGGGTTGAGCAGAGGGGGGGCCTAGGGCTTTAGTTTTTTTTTAAATGAAAAATAATTTTAAAAAACACATTTTTTGAATAAAACGTTTACATGAATTTCTCTATCAATAAATTTCATAGGCTCAAACCGTGTTCCCGTAGATTACTTAAATACCTACAAATTTTCTAAAAAAAATAAAAATTAACATATTTTTTGAACACAACAAAATAATATTAACTAAACAAAACTAGAAAACGTCATTTTTACTGCATCACAAGCAAATAAAAATTAATACGTAGCCAAGAGTCATAACTTAGGATTTCTCTGGGGGATGCCCAGCAGTATCTGGGGGGGGGGCGGCACTTCCGGGCACCCCTGTAGTTACGCCAATGTTTCTATCCTATCATTTGATAAGGAATGATGAAATTGATGGAATGGCCAGCACAATCCCCTGATCTAAAGTCATTAAACTTTTTTATTCTGGGGATAGTTAACCTCTGACGACTTCAAAGGTGATTTAAGAAAAATTGGCATTAAGTTTGTTAATTTGTTTTACTTGTTACTTGTAAATTTGATTTGAAATGTTGCTTATTTATTTTATGTTAATATTATTATACGTTTGTTATCGAATTATTGCCCATTTAGCTGTCACAGTATTTACTACACATTTTTTATTTATTTTTACATACTGTGTTATTCATTTGTGTATTAATTTTTAGTTTATCCTATACCTGTCTTAAATAAAACACCGTTTTTGTGATTTATACATTTTAATTTTGAGTACCTTTTCATTATTACAATAGAAGTTTTTTTATTACACTATTACATGAATTTTCCATGTAAGTATATAATAAGGTGATTAGTCTTGTCATGTTTGATAAGTTTACATTAAAATGAAATTTTATTGGTTTTTATATAGAAAAAGATATGCCTTTTCGTTAAGTAGACTCTACCGAAGGGGACAATCAAGAAAGATAAAATTGAGAACAATTTTCTTTAAATACAGGGTATCATTGAAATGGTGTAAAAAAATCGGGGGGTGATAGTACTCCTAAAAATAGTAAAAAAAGTTCCTATAAGTATAGGGTGGAAAATGCATATTAAAAGAGTTAGGGGCACTGAAAGGGTGAATTTAAAAAACGGTTGTTTTGAAATTGTAGGCTTAAAAAACGAGATAAAATTTCGAAAAAAAATCCCCTGCCATAAATTTTGACCCTAAATCAAATGGTGATACTGAAAAATTATTAGTAAAAGCGGAAAGGGCAGTTTTTGCAAGGATAGGGGATTGTTTCGCCAATAACTTTTTTGAGGTTATTTTTTTTGCAACGTGGGTTTTTTTGAAAATTACATACTTTTTCCTACAAAAAAGGTATTCTTGTTTCACATCGCTCAGAGCGATGGTTTTCGAGAAAATTGAAGGCAAAAAGTTTGCTCTGATGGGTTGCTAACTGGTTAATCAATATAAACTTATGAAAGTTATGGTGGTTCAAAAGTAACCAAGTAGTTATTAAATAATTAATTGGAAAATCATAAATTTCATGATATTTAAAACATCTTATCGCTTTAAAAACGAAATAAACTTTTTTGGTTTTAAAAAAAATTTGGTGTAATTAAAGATCACGCACACTATACCTACACGGACCAGTACGGACCAGCACAGCACAAACCTGCATCCTGCATGACGTCGCACACTTTACCGCCACAGACCAGCAACATAAGCGAGAGTTTCGAAAAAAGTACAGTTGTCAAGGCTCAACTACTAGAGCGTGCAACATAGAAGTATTGAAAATGAGTAGTTCAGAGGAAGAAATTATTATTTTAGCCATGTTGTGTGAAGAAGAGGAGGAAGAGAAGAAAGCTAAGAAAAAAAGAAGATTTTGGGTTCACCCTATAAATCAAAAGAGAAAGCAATATGGCGAATTTCATCATTTGTTTCCTGAATTAAAAAGATTCGAAGAAAAGTTTTTCCAATATTTTCGAATGTCACAAATCAAATTTGATTATTTTTTTTGCTATCGACTCCCATATTGCATCTGTTCTTTCTCGATCTTTATATATAAAATGCTTTGCTCGTATCGCACAGCTCTGGATACTTTTGTACCAGTAAAATAAGCTTTTCTTCATTCATATTTAAAACGATTTAAACGAACAAAAATAAACGAAATCTAACCTACATCATGCGACTTGAGCCAGCTAGCGTACTCGAAATACTGACGAACCCTTCAATATTTGCATGTTTGTGGAGGTGTGCTGGTTCGCCGGTGCGCACATTAGGTCGGACCAGCACGACCAGGCATAAATATTGCCGGTTATATTTGTCCCTGACCGACACGACCTGTTTTGACGGTCGTGGCTTGTCGGCGGTACGTGCTGGTACTGGTCTAGTGTGCTCTACTCTATTAAATAACACGGTCACCTTCACCGGTAGATTTTACTGGTCTGGTCCGTGCCGGTCCGTGTAGGTATAGTGTGCGCGATCTTTTAGTGCCGATTAATACTGAAGAGCAACTACGGCAACGCATTATTGACTGTTCCAATCAAATTCGGACAACACCAAGGATATTCCACAGGGAACGCAGATCGCGGAGAAGAAGATCAGATGTCTGCATTGAAATGAATGGTGGTCACTTTGAACATTTACTATGAATGAATTAAGGAATGCATTATTTTAATAAGGAATTTTGGTAATTGGATTATTTCGTTTTTAAAAGCAATAAGATGTTTTAAAAATCATGAAATTTTAATTTTCAAACTACTTGGTTACTTTTGAACCGCCATAACGTTCATAAGTATAAGTTGATTAACCAGTTAGCAACCCATCAGAGCAAACTCTTTGCCTTCAATTTTCTCGAAAACCATCGGTCTGGGCGATGTGCAACAAGAGTACTTTTTTGTAAGGAACAGTATGTAGTTTTCAAAAAATGAACCCACGTTGCAAAAAAAATAACCTCGAAAAAGTTATTCACGAAAAAACCCCCACCCTTGCAGAAACTACCCTTTCCGCTTTTCCAAATAATTTTTCAGTATCACCATTTGATTTAGGGTCAAAATTTATGATAGAGGATTTTTTTTCGAAATTTTATCTCGTTTTTTACGCTTTCAGTGCTCCTAACTCCCTTAATATGCATTTTCCGCCCTATACTTATAGGAACTTTTTTTACTATTTCTAGGAGTACTATCACCCCCCGATTATTTTTACACCATTTCAATGGCACCCTGTATAAATACATTAACAAGTATTATTTTTTTCTAATCAACAAAGTATATAGTTAGCTAAGGGGAACTATAAAATTAGAGTTTTATTATCCCTTTTAATAGTTCCACAAACAATTATATAACATGAAAATAACGTAAGCTATTATACAGTATATCACAAAAAGTTCGCAACAAATGAGAAAATTCTGTAATATGGCGTTTTAAAAAAAGCGTTTGTAGAGAATCAATAATTCAGCATACTGAAAATATGTTCAGCATCTGATTTCGCATGTTACAAGTCAATTTAATTAGTATAGAGGTAGAGAAGATTTTAGAAAATCATATTTTCTTCTATGTCATATATGTCAAAGCAATTTTATTTTCGATTATTCTGTAGGTAATAAAAATATCCCATTTTTTGCGAATTTTTGACGTATACTGTACCGTTTAAACTTAACATTTCTAACATAACATCATTTCCAAATATATCTCTCACAGCACCATCATTCTTATTTTCTATAAATATATACAGAGTGTTTCATAATTGAATGGTAATACTATTATTTTTCCATGATCTTTAATAACATCTCTAGATTAATATATAGCCAAGTTATATTAGTTTTCATATTTAGAGTTAAACAAATAGGTAAATATATTTTTTCTTTTTATGTGTGTTGAAGAGAGTTTAATTTCTCAAAGCAGTGCTTAATTTCATTGAGAGAGTTCAGAGTATCACTGTATGTCATTCTACCCTGTTGGCAAACGAAACCTTGGGTCGGCGTTTACATGTATAGGAGTGAATCGCTATGGCAATCTAGTAAGTCGGAGAGAGCAAAAATACGAAGTATTTATTACATAACCACTTAATCGGACGCTGGATTCCATGCACTTGGAAAAATACTTGCCTTCTGTCTTTATTTAGTACATCTTATTTTGCTAAGCGTGTTGACCGTACTCTTCGTACACACGAAAATCGGCACCCAAGACCAGAAATGCCAGCCCTAGTATATACATTTTATATTACTACAATATTTAAATTGGGGCACATTATATTTTACAATAAGGATCTCACGATTAAAAATATTTACAATGTGGTAACACTTCTGGAGAGACCGGAAGTTGACAACTCCCTTCATATTTAAAATTATTCTCACCAATTGTTTTATCAAACTATATATACAGGGTGGCGCACCTTATTCGCCTCGGTTGATTATACGGAAACGGAAAGATGTAGAAACAAAATATTTTATGAGTATATGTGGGGAGGTAATGTGCACAATTTAAAATTATTTTGAAATGTACAGGGTGTTTCAGAACTAAGATCCATACCAAAGTTATACTTTTTCTTATGGAACACCCGGTATTTTATTTCATTTTTGGATTCTTGGGCCCAAAAAAAGGTATTTATTATAAGGGTTAAATATGTTTAAATTCTTTGGTTTTTTGAGATAGGTATTTAAAGATATTTAAATTTGTATGCTACAATAGAATAGATTATTAACACCCTGTACATTACTTTTCAGAATTAGTTCTTGTGCTGAGTTTAAAGGTAGAGAAATAAACTTTACAGAAAAATGTTATTCCTTCCTTAAATGTATACAGGGGTATCAAAAATTGCTGGTCTATTTTAAATATTTATTTTACAAAAAAACTCCGTTATTTCAAATGCAACACTATGTATTTTTTTTAAAAAGTCGAAGCAAATTTAAATGCTCTTTCAAACTATATTAGGGTTTCCTATACCTATATGGCTCAGATTTTTAATAAAAAACGATTTTTCAATAAAATTGTAATCAAGATGGCTAGTGTTGTCATGGCAAGTTTCTAGTGACAGTTAGCTATTTTCAAAATCGAAATTAGTTTATGGACTTATTTAAATTTATACCAGTTTACTTTTATTTAATTTACCTACAATAGTTTAATAAATAATATTTATTAAATGTGTATATATTATTCTATCAAGAAAAACGAAGAAGTAGTTCTTTGAATTACTTTACGATGACTTGTAGATATATGGATTTTCTATAAAATAGTCAATTACGGCAAATTCATTTTATTCACTTCCAATGACAGGTTTCTGCCTAATAGTTTTTTTATAAACCACGCTACCAGCTCTGCGAAATACGACAAGTTTTTCAAAGAAACGCTTATCAGGAAGATTCCTATTTGGATATCTTTGAGCATAAGCCCTTGAGGCCAAGAAGCAATTTTCCTCACAAAATAATATCACTAGTAACATATCTATTCGTTCTGCCCCAGCAGATACTGCTTTATTTTTCTTGATAAAATAATGAATACTTACTTATTAAACTATTGTAGGTAAATTTAAGTAAACTGTTATATATTATAAATAATAATGTCCATAAACTAATGTCGACTTTGAAAATAATTACTAACTGTCACTAGAAAATTGCCATCTTTATTGCAATTTTATTTAAAAATCGATTTTTATTCAAAATCTGAGCTAGATAGGTATAGGAAACCCTAATATAGTTTTAAAGAGCATTTAAATCTGCTTCGACTTATTTAAAAAAATACAGGGTGTTGCATTTGAAATAACGAAGTTTTTATATAAAATATATCCTTAAAATAGATCAGCAACTTTTGATAGCCCTGTATAAATTTAAGGAACCAATGCCATTTTTCAGTAAAGTTTATTTCTCTACCTTTAAACCCAGCATAAGAATTAATTCTGAGAAAAGCAATGTACAGAGTGTTAATAGTCTATTCTATTGTAGCATGCAAATTTAAATATCTTTAAATATCTCAAAAACTAAAGATTTTAAACATATTTAACCCTTATAATAAATGCCTTTTTTTGGGCCCAAGAATCCAAAATTGAAATAAAATACCGGGTGTTCCATAAGAAAAAATATAACTTTGGTATGGATCTTAGTTCTGAAACACCCTGTATATTTCAAAATAATTTTAAATTGTGCACATTGTCTCCCCACATATACCCATAAAATATTTTGTTTCTACATCTTTCCGTTTCCGTATAATCAACCGAGGTGAATGAGGTGCGCCACCCTGTATATTCGATACCAAATAAAGTTTTAGTGACGTAATCGAGGGTGCGATTTTTAAATTCATTGTTGTCAACCATGGAAATATTCAGCACCGGACTGACTAACTGGAATATAAATTTCCCGCTGGTGATTCAAAATCATCAAAAATGTCACATTTATTTATTTCCTGACATTGTTATTCGTTTTGACATTTTAGTTTTGTGTTGCTAGTTTTTAGTTTAAATGAATTAAGTTGTGATACTTTAAGCTTATTTTTTACTAGCAGACTTTGTAGTCGAACATTGTTCTTTTTAGAACCTCTTTTAGTGCGAAGTGGTACAAGATAGCTTAATAGCCGTAAAAAACTTATCGCAACTTTAATAGAATATTTTGAACGGAAAAGCGATAGTAATGGCCCTTTATGCCCCCTAAGTGCTGTTAAGAAGGTGAGTTTTGTTGATGTAGATAATAACTGTTTTTATATTTATAATTAATTTATTTTTGTTTCGTAAAATATTTTGATTAAAAGAAAATATGTAAAAGTGAGCAACGCCATGCCAGTCAAGCTTAATCACGTGACTAAAAGTTTATTTGATATGAACTATACATTAATATTATCGGTTTCTGTGTTTTAGAAAAGTCAATTAAAACTATTAATATGACTTTCTAGAATCCTCTAAACCAAGATTAACCAAGGGCATCCTGTATATGTACGAGATATTTTTCGAAATAAATTTCCGAAATTAGTGTACAGAATGTTCCAATAATAGAGAATGTCGGCTTTACCGACGTCCTTTTGATTATTAGAGCACTTTTCACACTACAATATCTTCAAGTAATATTATTCAATTATGAAACAACCTGTATAAAAATAAATAACCACAAAGATTTATATCAGTTCTGTTCTAAATTTATATCAAGCTAGTCTCAGTAGAGTTCTCTGCATTGATTATCGTTCCTGAAGACGTAAGGGGAAAGAAAGTCGAAACGAGATTGACCATGGCAGTAGTGGAAGGGTGAATTTGATCAAGCGTCCCATTGGTAGCAATTAGTGGAGTTACCTATAACAAAATAATAATAATTATCATTTTATTTAAGTCTAACAATATTTAAAATCGAAAGATACCTTAAATGGAATAGGTCCACAGGGATGTTCTTCTATCGATCCCAAAGCATTTTCAATGGAATATGCCACCAAAGAACCTGCAGCTAGTCCAAACATGTACATCAAAGTCATCATGTTACCTAAGAAATAGGTTTTAATGTTTAAATTAAGAATATAATACTATCTAATAATACAGAGAACCAGTGACAAAAAGTATACAAAACCCATCCATCCCTTAAATAAGAAGTAATAGTCAAACGAATTTTAGTTATTTTAGAATTTAACGTCACAAGTTAAATTAACGTTTTAGTTGATTATACTACATAAATAAACCAGTGAGTTAGTTGTTTATATCAATTGGTTGTATCATAGTATGATGAAACTAGTAGTGCCACTCGTGAAAATATTTTCCTCCTGCCGATAGAATTTGGCAGATTGTTGGCAGCATGTAGTGCTCTTCAGTTGAAACATGTACTACATACATGACGGATGTAATGACTGACAGTCATAATGACAGATGTCTGGTCACTTTAATTTTTGTAAATTAATTTCACTGATTTAGATATTTTATTAAAGAAAGATTTTTTATGGTTTATTTTGTGAGTGATATAATACAAAATATACCTGTAAGTTCCCTGTGTCTATCATCTACTTTACTAGGAGCCTGTATCATCGGCACACTTCCCAATATTCCATTGCTCAAACCTAGCATTACTGAGAAAATGAACGCTGTAATTTCAGCGGAGAATTTTGGACTATGCCTAGGAGCTACGCACATTATCATCAGAGGAATGAGCACCAAACGTATAACGGAGCATTTGACTAGTCTGGAACCAGTCCAGTATCTAAAAGAAAACGTTTAAGAGCATAGATCGAAAAAAACGGCGTCAAAGATGGCTGGGAAATGACAATCGATGATAATTCAGCGAGGTCAAGCTCTAGACGTCATTACATGGCCCGTACTCTTCTTTATTCTTTAATGGTGCTTACTGCCTGTCAATTGGCCTTAAGAATGTTGTAATTTATTTTTATATTCATTAAAAATGGTTTTTAAAAATGTTGTAGTTTAAAATTCAAAAAAAATTGTGTCTGGAAACGTTTTATCCTTTTTTAATTTCTCTATAATCAGTGTGTCTTAATTGACAAGTTTAATGTCAATTTTTAGTAAATGACGTCTAGGGATTGACCTCGCCAAAATTATCATTTATGTCATTCCCCAGTCGACTTTGACGCGGTTTTTTCGATCAGACGATATTATTAATTCAGAATATGACTTAAAACTAGAGAAATTACACACCTTGCACCACTGGCTGCCATCTTTCCAATGAGATCCGATGCGTTGAACAGCGCCATCATCAATATGGGCATCCAGGATCCCAGGGTGCAACTAACAATTTCCGAAGCCACACCAGGGTATATACAGAGAGTTGCGAAATAAACCAAGCAAATTGATATCATGTAGGGATAAGTGGATTTTGTTACTTCCCAGCGTGCTTGTATACCTCCTAAAATAAAACTTTAAAATATATTCTAGTGTTTAGTAAAAAAAAGTTGATGATCAAATTTCACTGATTTAATTTTTGATAAGTTTGGAGGGATTTTAAATAATAAAGACTGGAATTAGAAAATTCGGTGCTGCGATATGTAATGTATCTATCCCATGAAAAACATTAAATGGAACAAAAAATGTAAATACAACAAATAAAAATGAATAATCAAAACTAACTTTTGAAGGCGTTAATTCCGACAGTGTTGGCACTGACACTGTGACGTCCCCTCACCACTACATCTTCGACTTTGTAAGTTGGTACCGGTGCAGAAGGTTCATAAGCAGGGTTGGCAAAACTGAGCTGAGTTCCAGTGGGTGGTGGACTGGTCTGGATTTTTAAAATTCCGTACTGAGCATCGTTAGTTTCAATCTGAAACAGTAAACAGTACAAGATATTTACGTAATTAATATTAAGTAAAAAAATCTACAAAATAATAAAAAATAAATTTTCTAATTCCAAGACTATTTAGAAGCAATTTTCACAAATCTAATGCCGGGTCCAGACCAAGCAGACAAAACAGTGACAAGACAGAAACTTTCATGTTTTACGACAAAGTTGTGACAAATCCAATACATTTCTGCGACATTTTTGTCCCATTTTTGTTTTGTTTCAAAATTCGGACACTTTTCAATGCCCCGTCTTGAGTCGGTAAAGAGCAAAGTGTCTATGTTTTGTTCGTATCTCCACATTGTTCACATACTTGATATTCTCGACATGATATTGTCGACATATCCGACATGTCATTGTCGACAATCTCGAAATTATACAAGTCGGCAACAAAATTGAAACCAAACACCAATAAAGTGAAAACAAAAGCTGCAACAAAATGGCAACAAATCAGCAAGTAAGTGGAAACAAAATGGCTACAAATCATCAACAAAGTGGAAACAAAACGGAAACAAAATGAAAACCAAACGGCAACAAATCAGCAACGAAGTGGAAACCAAATGGCAACAACTCAGCAACAAAGTGGCAACAAAACGGGAACAAAACGAAAACAAAATGGCAACAAAGTGAAAACAAAGTGGAAACAAAACGGCAACAAATCAGCAACAAAGTGGAAACAAAATGTCTCAAAAAAGTAAAAACAAAACGAGAACAAAACGGAAACGTATCAGCAACGAAGTGTAAGCAAAACGGCAAAAAATGGAAACAAAACGGGTACAAAACGGAAACAAAATGGCAACAAATAAGCATCAAAATTGAAACAAAACACCAATAAAGTGGAAACAAAATCTGCAACAAAATGAAAAGAAAACGGGCAACAAATCAGCCTCAAAGTGGAAACAAAATGAAAAACCTTGATCCTGTCGACTTTCTGGACATGATCCTGTCGACATACACGTCATGGTACTGTCGACATTCTCGACATGATACTGTCGACATTCTTGATATATTATTGTCGACATACACGACATATCCGACATTGCATTGTCGACATGGTATTGTCGACATTCTCGACATTTTCGACATTGCATTGTCGACATTCTCGACATAATATTGTCGACATTCTCTACATAATATTGTCGACATTCTCGACATACTCGACACGGTATTGTCGACATACACGACATTTCCAACATTGCATTGACGACATACTCGAGATGATATTGTCGACATTCTCGACATTCTCGACATTTCCGACATTGCATTGTCGACATCGTATTGTCAACATTCTCGACATGATATTGTTGACATACTCGACATTTCCGACATTTCCGACATTTCCGACATGTCATTGTTGACATTCTCGACATGATATTGTCGACATGGCGTTGTCGACATTGTCGACATGACATCGTCGACATTGACTTTGTTGACATACTTGACATGATATTATCGACATACATTATTGCCATTCCATTTCTGGAAGTGCTTTAACGCAAAAGAACACATTCTCAACATACTCTACATCCTCGACATGACATTAGCGATATTCTTGACTTGATATTATCGACATATTTTACATTCTTGACATGGTGTTGTCGACATGAGATTGTTCACATACTCGACATTATATTGTCGACATACTTTACATTCTCGACATGGCGTTGTCGACATTTTCGACATGGCATTGTTGACATTCTCAACATGGCATTGTCCAAATACTCGACATTCTCGACATGACATCATCGACATTGACTTTGTTGACTTACTCGACATGATATTATCGACATACATTCTCGCCATTCCATTTCTGGAAGTGCTTTAACGTAAAGAAACACATTTTCGACACGATATTTTTTAAAGGTTTCAAGCTCCAACTGTAATGAATATTTTTTATTTGTTTTGTTGCTGTAATAATAAGAGCCTTGTCATTTTTAATAAGATCCAACAATTGTTATATGCCATATAGTAAAATTAAATGAGATTTGAAGTTCCGTTCTAATGAGCTTAACGAACATCTATTTCTAGCGTCTCTCTACTTCAACATCATACGTGAAAATATATAAATAACAACCCCTTAAACAATGAAGACATATATATAGTCTCTAGTGTTAAAAATACTCTAGGTATTTCTTATCTATAATTTTTATATCCTTTTTGGCAAATTTCCTTCCTCATTAAACAGAGTATCAATACCTACTTCTTAATTCTAAAATTTCTAAGATTTTAATTATTTCGTGTAAAAGAACTCTTTTTAAATTCAAAAAATTAATAAACATGTATTTTTAATAATAAATTTTACAATTTTATTGTTTAATAAAAACGTAGCTATTAAACAAATAAAAATCGGGACATTAGGGCTTTGCGTGGGGACGCGGGACTCTTGGATCAAAATCGGAACGGGTGGCAACCCTGCTCATCACTAGTTAACTCACCAATCCAGCATCTTCGGTGGGCTCCAATGTAATCCTTGTTTTAGCCCGCTCGCATAACGCAATGTAGAACTGTATAAAGTCGGACCTTCTGATCAAATGATACATGGCAAAACATGTCAGCACCGTTGAAACTGACACGGTAAAGAAATAAACTGTGCTGCCTCTCAGTTCGTTGACGATGAACTTCGTTATGACTCGAACTATGGACGTGAAGACTCCCGAAGTACCTAAATATATTTTTATTTTAGTATAATTTCCTTTCCTTTTGTTAAAAGTGTCTTACTTTCTCCCACCATCACTGCTTGAGTATACTTTGAAGGTAGCATGCTCGTGTAACCATAGAAACTTGATTGCTGAACTATAAAAATAAATGCAATGATTCAGTATTGAAATTAGGAGAACTTATTTAGATTCCAAAAATACGAAGTAGTTCTATGTCCACGGAATATTGGGACACCCTCTATGTATACTGACCTGTACAACCTACAGACACTACAGCCACAGCCGCCAAATTCACTGTATACGACGTGGCAGTACCCCAAGCCTCCCACCAAACTTCACATACCACCACAAAAATGAGCGTTACAAACGACATTATGTATCCTAAAACAATTCCTTTTTGTAGCTATAAACCCTTCGCATTAGCGTAACTAGCAATTTACCCTGGGGCGGGCCTGGGTTTGAGCCCAGGGGGGGCCTAAGGCTTTTGTTTATTTAAAAATGAAAAATTATTTTAAAAAACACATTTTTTGAATAAAACGTTTACATGAATTTCTCTATCAATAAATTTCACGTGTGTCTAGCCCTAGCAGGCAACTATTAAGCCCGACCAATCACGTTAGTGTTTTTGACAAACACAAATGAATTAACACCCTCCAAATAACCACGCTAACCAACCTGATTGGTCAAGCTTAATAGTTGACTGCTAGGGCTAGACACTTCTATAAATTTCATAGACTTGGCTATCAAACCGTGTTCCAGTAGAATACTTAAATACCTACAAATTTTCTAAAAAAATAAAAATTAATACGTAGCCAAGAGTCATAATTCAGGATTTTTTTTTGGGGAGGGGGGAATGCCCAGCAGAACCTGGGAGGGAGGCCCGGCACCCCCGTGCACCCCTGTAGTTACGCCAATGACCCTTCGTATGATAATAATAGTGTTTTACCAAAATTGATCCTGGAATTCAGCGAAAAGGTTTCAACTAGCAGATTATTGGCTAGGACGGTGAGCAGGGCAACTACGATGTACACCAGTGACATATCGAACACCACGGGCGTACCAGGGTATCTCACTTTGAAGTAATCCATAGCCATAATGAAGCTAGAAACATTTGGTATACTTTATTGGCATATTGGCATAGAGGAAGATAATAAAAAAAACTCTTTTTATTAATTTCTCTATGCCTATAAGTTAGTGACTTGAGTTAAGTGACTTGTTAGGGATCCAAAGAAATTTAATTGCAGGTGGACATGGTGCTTCTTAAAAGTTAACTATTGTAGACTGTAGATGTTTGAAGTAAAATTCAAATCAATACGGCTATGAATATTTGCCACCAATATTCGAGAATGCAATTGCAAGTATACTGTGTTAAATGAAAAAAGGACTATTCAAATGTTGCTTGCTTTAACTATTTAAAAAATGGTATAGAACGCTTTTTTATACAGGATGAGTCTTAAATAAATGGAAATATTTTTAGGGGTAATATATACCGTGCTGGCAACTGTTACTTTTGGGTCGGCATTTACATGTGTTGAAGTAAATCGCATAGGGATCTTATTAAGTCGGAGTGAGAGAAATGCGACCGACCGACACGACGCGCGACGGTGTGCTGTTGCGGCGTTGCCGATACGCCTTTCCCTATCAAGTAAAGTAAAATCACGATCGCAAACCGCTTATTTTTAAAAGACTTTTTTTCAAGAGATAACTAGATAAAATCATTAGACATGTTTCTGAGCATCTGAAATGGAATTATAAGGATATCGTTAGGGTGTAATTTTTTTTATAGCGAGAAAACGTCAATAATCGCGATAATTTAAAAACTCAACTTTTTAACACATAACAGGCCATAACTCAAGAACCACTTTAGATATTGAAACTTTTTTTATTTTCAAGATCGGATATTTTACAATAACAGTTGAATATGCCAATCAATCCTAATTTATGTCATATACTAAGAAACCAAATCTTGTTGTTTTATCTGAAAAAATAAAAAAGTTATAGGGGGTGAGCCACTCTTGAGACGCACCCGGTAGAAGCAAAAAATCTTCTTTTTTTTAATTTTCAAAGTAGTAAAATATCTCGGTTATTTTGGAGTTATTTGAAAAACGACAAAGAGAAAATATGGTTCTTTTATCGAGATCTACCAGCCCTGAAAATATTTGTACTTATTTAAGACTCATCCTGTATAAGGTTTCCAACTTTCAAAATAACAAATAGAGTACGAGATAGTAAGAAAGCGTAACAGGCGATAACAAATGTTGAAACTTCGTACAAATGTTGTACAGAGTTTACCCAAAAGTTATGTAAACGATATGCTGTTGATGCTGTCTGTCTTAAAGGGTCTTATTTTCTTAAAAATGTTTATACTCAAAACTTGATAAAAGAAAACAATTCAATTTACTACAAAACTAGCAACTTCAATACATAACAGTAAGTGAACAAAAACAGCTGTTTATCGCATCCATAAGTTCCGTATGATCAAAAAAAAAACAGCGTCAGAGACGGCTGGGGAATGACAATCGATGTTAATTTTGGCGAAGTCAATCCCTAGACGTCATTTTCTAAAATTTGACATAAAACTTGTCAAAAATTAACACTAATTATAGAAAAATTAAGAAAAATTCTTGAGTTTCAAACTCTATCTACCATTTAAAAATATCATTTTTACTTAATATAAAAATAAAACAGAGTTTTCTTAAGGCCAACTGGTAGTAAGCGTCATTATAAAAAATAGGGAAGAGTACGGTACAAGCTCAGGGTACAAGTAAATACCCTCTAAGGCTTGACCTCGCCAAAATTATCATCGATTGTCATTCTCTAGCCGTTTTTGACGCCTTTTTTTTTCGATGGTATGTTATTTCTTTTCTGTACTAACGAGAGAGAGTAGAGAAAGACACATTGCTGGTTGAAAAAGCTCTAGTTCTGGGGCTCTGAGAGCCTCCATTTGCTGTACCCAATTTAGCCCCCATGTTTTCTTTTTCTAACCAAACTGGTATCGGTTGCAAATTGTTCAACAACACACTTTGTTACATGTTTACACAGGATTTGTTAAGTTTATTTGCACAAGCAAAAAGAAATCAGCTGAATATGATCGCTTCTCAAAGAACATACCAAAACTTCTAGATGTTTAGAGAACAAAGTATACCCTATAAGTCATAAACTGGTTAGAAAACTAATAAATAACACTTTGACGATTGAAAAGAAAGGTGCGCTGTGCAATGTTAACATGTTAGCATTGGTGAAAAAATCGAAAAATTATCAAATGTCTAACATTTTGAACAAGTAATGCATCAGTTAACAATTCTATTAAGTATTGTAGCGATAGATGAATATTTTTTGAGTTTGGTGTGTTAAAAGAGAACTTTTTCAATAAGCAATGGAAAAAGAAAACAGCACGATTAAAACAAGGACTGGCACTCTTCCTTTTTTTTGCAAGGTTTCTATTTCATTCTATCATATTATTATAAATAAAAGTAAATTACCTACCTGTTGTATGGTAGCAAGAACCCCATACCACCAAGTACAAATGACAAATAGATCACATTGAAAGAATCCACTGGAGGAGAAATATTTCCAAAAGTAGCTCTGGCATTAGAAAATCCATCACTGGATCTTTTTTTCGCCCTCAATTTGGAGTAACCATGAGCGTCTATATTATTAGCTTCTTCCACCATTTTTTTAAATTTATATTTAATATTTTTGCTTAATACTCCTTTTGATTTACATTTTTACATTTTTAAGCTTTATTACCATTATCTAAAAAGGTATTTTTAAATTCTATTGTCTATCAATAAATATTTCATAACTATTTTAGCTAAATTTTAATATACATCTTTGATTATATTTGAATCGAATAACTTTTTAAATTATTACTTACCGGTGTTGATTATTAATTGCGACATTTTCCAAATATTTACTTCATTCAACTATGTGCCCTTTAAAGCTTCATAAGGTCTTTTAACCCTTCTGACGTCACGACCGATTTTCGCATATTGATTTTCTCTGTGATTTTGCGCATCATTTTTGTTATTTGAATTCTTCAACTAAAACCAATAGTAACATAAAAGTAAAAATTATTATCTAAATGTAGACTGAATTATTTACAATTCAGATTATACTAGAAAAACATTATTTAATAAATAAAAGAGCGTTTTATATTTGAATAAATTTAAATTTAAATTTTATAGTTAAAAGTTTATGCAACTAATTATACACATTCATATTAAGCTTCCCTCTAGTGAAGATTTTTCGAACTCACCTGACAGTTAGTAATCATGGCCGCTTATTACTTGTTCAGAATGTTAGATATTTGATAATTTTTCGATTTTTTCACCAATACAAATAGTTAACATTGCACAGTGCACCTTTCTTTTCAATCGTCAAAGTGTTATTTATTAGTTTTCTAACCAGTTTAAGACTTATAAGGTATACTTTGTTTTCGAAACATCTAGAAGTTTTGGTATGTTCTTTGACAAGCGACCATATTCAGCTGATTTCTTTTTGCTTGTGCAAATAAACTTAACAAACCCTGTGTAAACATGTAACAAAGTGTGTTGTTGAATGATTTGCAACCGATACCAGTTTGATTAGAAAAAGAAAACGAACCATGGGGGCTAAATTGGGTACAGCAAATGGAGGCTCTCAGAGCCCTAGAACTAGAGCTTTCTCAACCAGCAGCAGTACTGAAGTGGTAACTCCGCCAGGGTTTAGATTTATGAGATCTTTAGTGATGGAAAATGACAGACAAAGAGCCCGGTAAGTATTGTTACTACCCCTAAAAATATTTTGGTAAAACCTCTTTTATTATCTAAATTTAAGAAGTACTTTTATCTTCATGAGATAGCATTCATTGTATCTGATACTCGATCAAAGATTTTTTTAAAGTTAAATAAACATCAGACTATGGAGAAAAGCAAATAAACTTCAGCTGTTATTTCTAAAACAAGGTTTTGTTGAAAATAAAAAGATGTATATAGCCATAATGTAAGCACAGTTGTTGAACACACAATTATTTTTTTTCTTCAATCTATTTTCATTCAGTGTTATTTTAAATTGGTTGTTTATTTTGAATTCCTGTACAATGAACCAATGAACAAATTTACAAGTCTTTGTTATTGTTCGTACTATAAATTATTCATAAATAATCTATTTTAGATCACTGTCAAGCGTTCCAGACCTACATGGAACTTCAGGTACTGATTCACATCACACGGAGAATGGGGGAACTAATTTAGGAGAAGGATCAATGGCAGGGAGTCCTGGGGCTGATACGGATAGCAGTGCCGGTGAAGAAGGGGCACAGGGAGGCTTCATAGGTCATGCTGCGGCAGCTGCATTGACTAGGGTATATGCCACCCATTCCCTACCAGGCCATATATGGAGCCTTAACGGTAAGTGACATGTCTGTTGCAATAGTGCTAGTTAAAAGCATCATATAAAGTTTATTAAAGAAAAATCAATAAAGCAATTCCATCAAATAGTGCTGGTGTGCATTCTAGTCAAGGACAATTTTTTCATATTGTTGCCATAGATACATAACTTATACATGGGTCTAATGGGTATTATTATTAATTATTCACATAGTCATTGTCTGGGTACTATTAGATGTGTCATCTAATAATAACTCTAGTTCATAGAATTTTACATTTATTATGATTGAAAGGTACGGAATGGAATTGCAAACGTGTATGCAGATGCTTTTCATATTAAAATTAAAAGTAAAAATAATTTAAATCTACATGAATACTTATGAATATTGTGACTGAAAATGAAAACTATATTAAAGTATATTAATTATATCACTAACTATATGAATTTCTTATTAATATACGTAATCTTATAAGTTAATATCTTTACCTTATTTATTTAATACTATTTTAAATCCTAACCACTTAAGATAGATCATTAAATAATTGTAGTCAGCATATTATAAACTATATTTTAGATAAACAACACTTCAGAAATCAATAAAAATTAAAAATATAATATACAGGGTGGTTTGAACTGTATTCCGGAAATTTCGTCAGCATATTCTGCAGAAAAAAATAAGTAAAAAAGTTTGTATTGACAAAAAATAAACACGTTGAGTAGATAGTTATTTGACTGAAATAATAAATTTGGAAATTTTTTATTTTTTATAAAATTTGTCTGCGAAAAAATGATGATAAAACAGTTCTGTTGAACATTTGGCACAAAGCATTTCAAATTTACGATTTCAGTCTAATAACTATTTAGTCAACATGTTTAATTTATGTCAATGATTACAGGTATTGATAATTTCGATTCCAAATATCTCGAAAACCATTACTCGTAGCGATTTTTACCAGGAGACCTTTTTTACGTAAAATACGTCGTAAATGTATATTTTTTTACTCAGTAGTTTTATAGAGGTACGGACGAAAAGTTATTACTCATCAAACCAGTTAAAAAATATGTAGGTGGCGCCCTCTACAAGTAGGAGTCATATTGGCATCAAAATCAAATTGTTCGTGTTAAAAAACTCCCAGACACCAATTTTCCAAAATATTGACATTACTTCATAAATTATTTGGAAAAATCGAAATAAAAATGAAACTTATACACCCTGTATCTCTGAAACTAAGCATTTTAAGACATACATTTATACGGACTGTTTTACTTATTTTTATCTGCAGAATATGCTGCCGAAGTTTCCGGAATACAGTTCGAACCACCCTGTATTATAACTTAACTAGCTACTTAAAGATAATAGAATGAAAAGCTTTTAATGCTACTCAAAACCATTTGGAATTTCCTTATTTACCTATAACAAAAATTTGTTATTACTTTTTATACCCTTGAAATTTTTTGCTAAGAACTGTTATCACATAAATATTTTTATTTGCTTTTAGATTTACTTTTCAAAAATCCGATACAGATACATAAATAACATTTCTTATACTGGAACTACCTTGTACCCTAGTTTGTATATCCAAGGGTAGTGTTGTGAATGGAAATATTGGAAATTTCCAAACATGTCTCGGAACTATTGGAAATATTTTTAAAAATACTTAAATCTTGTCATTAACGGTTCAAACCCGATGTGTATTAATACATATATCTTTCATATTTTGTAACCCTATAAACATTAAACTTACTATAGAACAGTTTTACAAACATATAATATGGTGAATATATCGAGTTTGAGGATTCACCAACTTATTTGCAACCTCGCATTTCTACAGGGAAGTATCGAGCTCGTAAGTCGTAGGGTAGTAAAAACTCGCTGGTCTTCAATTTGGACCAATTTAAAAAGTGTATACAATACTAGGCTCAGTTTACAAGGAGTTGCAGTTAGTCAAGAAGCAACACAAATGATTGATAAAAATGTTAAGTAGTGGATATTAGATGACGAAGTATTTTGGGCCCAAATTTTCAACGTAATTAACATTTAACCAAACCAAACCTATTGGCAAATGGTTAAAAATTGTAGAAGGAGATTATAGCACTATTCATTTTGCTGTAAAAGAATTTTGTGATATTAGAAGGGTAATTCAGAATAATCTTGCATTGTCCTCACTTGACGACAAAGAAAAATCCGAATTGTTGGAGTTTGTTGACAAAAGAGAAAAATTTGCTATTAAACCCATTCATTATGCTGCAGAATTACTAAATCCAAAATCACAAGGTTCTGAACTTGATGAAACCCAAATTCTTTGCCATAGAATGCATACTTAATATATCAAAAAAAAACTCAATATAAAGGAGCAAGAAATAATAGATGAAATAGCAATTACCGTTGTAGAAGTGGCAAGTTATTTGGAAATAACTTCATATGGAAAAGTAGTTTTGATAACCCGGTCTCATGGTGGAAAGGACTGTGTTCTTCATCTTCATTATCACAAGTAGCTTCACGAATGTTGATGATGCCAGCATCTTCGGCTGCCACGGAACGCAGTTTTAGCGTTTATACTCATATTCATTCAAAAAAGAGAAACAGGCTTACTGATGATAGAGCCGCTAAGCTACTCTATGTATCGAACAATGAAAACTTGCTGAAGAAAATAGGAAACGGCAATAGATCAATTTTTATTTCCGATACTATTGAAGATTTTGGGAAAGTAGACTGGCAAGAAGATGTTATTGAGTGTGATGCTGATGACAGCGATAAAGATATGCCTCTTGCTCGACTAGTGTGTCAAAGTGTGTAATTTTTTTTGTACAAATTTAACCTTAATTTATTTTTTAATTTGAAGAATAACTCTTTATTTGTGTTTATGTATAAGCATTTTGTGTTTTGCGATGTTTTGTTATGATTTTTATAAATAAATATTTCAGTTTTTCTTATTTTTTAAAATATTTCATATATTTCCAATATTTCCATATATTTCCAATGTTTCAGGAAATATTTCCAAAAATATATTTCTGGAAATTTTACATCACTATCCAAGGGTATACATATGCAATATTTTTTGCTCAAATCAAAATTAACCGAAATAGGTGACTAGAATCTAGGAGACAGCTTTTATTGAAACATTTTTTTCAAAGTCCTTACCGTTTCTCTGAAATTTGGAAAACAACACACTTTACTTATACAGGGTGAGTTTCCTACGATGTTCTCTATGGGTATCTCGGAAACTACTGGAGATAGAGAGTCGGTTAAATGGGGAAAGAATTGCAGTTTTGTGGGGTCATAAATATGCGCCTTTCAGATTTTTGAAAAAGTTCATGGCTTACTAGATATTTCGAAAAAAACAAATTTCGGCTATTTTAAAAATTGTCTCTAATTGCATTATAAGCTATTTTAGATAAAAAGTTTTTTCAGATAAAAGTTGTAGATAATCACATCCTTAATGAGACTGTGTCCCCCGTTTTTTTTCTAAAACCTGTCATTTTTGACATATGATACAAACATGTTTTTTTAAATGGAAACCATAGTTGGCCATGACTTCAGAAAAAGCGCCATTTTTTAAGCTTTTCAACGATATAAGCTATAATATGTTTTCTTCGAAAAATTACTGAGTTATAGCCAATTCTTATCATTTTTAAACAATTTCACTTAGTTAGCCATGGAAAAAAGTTTAATCGTCTTTGCTCTCATAAATGTAAAGGTGTCACATCCAAACTTTGTAAATTAAAGTAAACAAAAATTGTAAATATGAATTTTTCAAATGAAGAAAAGCGTGTAGGATTATTGGTTCAACTTTTCTTGTTAAACTTAGTTATAGCCAATTCTTATCTTTCTTGACTAATTTCACTTAGATTGCATGGTATTCTTATTCTGTTATGATTTATAACTTATAAAAAGTCAGAATATATTACTAAACGGTTCTTTACAATTTACATTACACAAACTAAACCTTAAAAAAGTAATATCACTACATACACTTAAAGTTTTAAGTTATTTTAGAAAATGTTCAAAAATCCGCCATTGTTTTGAGAGTTGCATCTTTTTAAAACTGAATTACTACCTATTCTCACAGAAGGACCGGTTGACTTAATTAAACTTTTCTCGTACCGCCACTTCAAGTGCCTCTCTTAATTCATAAGTTATTTTGCAAACCTTATTGTTAACTATACCGCATAAAAAATTCTAAAATGGATAGGTCAGGTGATCGAGGAGGCCCATGCAATTAGTCCACCTCTTCCTATACCTGCATTTGTATAATTATGATATAAATAATTTTTAACATTTCTTTCATTATGGGGGTGGTGTGTCATAATGAAAGTCATGTTGGAACCACTCTATTGATGTGCGAGATCTACACGCTTTTCTTCATTTGAAAAATTCATATTTACAATTTTGGTTTATTTTAATTTACAAAGTTTGGATGTGGGAGTTTCACATTTCTGAGAGCAACGGCGATTGTACTTGTTTCCATGGCTAACTAAATGAAATTATTTAAAAATGATAAGAATTGGCAATAACTCAGTAATTTTTCGAAGAAAAGATATTATAGCTTATATCACTAAAAAGCTTAAAAAATGGCACTTTTTATGAAGTCATGGCCAACTATGGTTTCCATTTAAAAAAAACATATGTTTGTGTCATATGTCAAAAATGACAGGTTTTAGAAAAAAACTGAGGACACAGTCTCATTAAGGATGTGATTATCTACAACATTTTGTCTAAAATAGATTATAATGGAATTAAGGACAATTTTTAAAATAGCCAAAATTTCTTTTTTTCGAAATATCTAGTAAACCATGAACTTTTTCAAAAATCTGAAAGGCGCATATTTATGACCCCACAAAATTGCAATTCTTTCCCCATTTAACCGACTCTCTATCTCCAGTAGTTTCCGAGATACCCATAGAGAACATCGTAGGAAACTCACCCTGTATATTTCACCCCTTCTCGGGGTAAATTAAAAAAAAAATCTTATAATTTTCCAAACAAATCGAATAAAAATGTTAAATATATGAATTTTTC